ACTCACCGGCCGCCGGAGCCCGCCCGGCAGGCAGCAGAAGCGGAGACGCGACATTCAGCGGCCCCGGCCCGGTCCGGGCTGGAGCGCAGCGCCGCGCAGCGCAGCACCGCCCCCCACGGCCGCGCGAGTCGAGCCGAAAGGGAGCTCTCTGCTGGCGGCTCCGGGGATAAAAGCCGGGCCTTCCTGGCAGCGCCAGGGCGCGCCTCCACACGCCAGCCATGTGGGCACTGGCCGTTGCCCTGGGGGACTTCTGTCCACGGTGGGCACCGAGGCCCCTCCGGCCGTGTTCTAGAGACCCTGCCTGGGCATTGAAGGCTGCTGGACATATCTAAAAGGTGCTGAGTGGCACTGCCCAGGGCCATGCTGAATGTATAGAACAGGTTCTCTGTGCAAGGCAGACACGGTACCCTGCTGGCTGTGTCCAAGAAGATGCTTCCCAGAGTAGTGCTGTCCAGAAAAAGCAATTGTGTCTTGTGGGCCCTGTTTTCCCAGCGTGGCTCTGCAGAGGCAGACACAGGAGTCTGCTGGAGAGTGCCAGATGACTCCGTCCAGAGCAGGCACTGCCTGCCACGTCCAAGGTGGAACTGCCAGAATGCACTCCCCAAGGTAGGCACAGGCTCCCAATAGCTTGACCTGAGAAAGCCCTGCCTCAGGTGGAGCTGCCTGAGGGATGGGCAAGGGCCCAGGGATCACAGCCTTAAGTAGCTTCCACTCCCTAAATGAGCCCCACAATGCCAAGATTAATGAGGTCTGCCCCTGGGTCTGTGGTGCTCTGTATATATCAAGTGGGCTGCTCTACCCACAGAGAGGGAATTTTAGACTTCTTAGAGGCCAGGAGGCATTTGGAAAACAGGCCTCTGAGATAGGTGCTATGTCTTGAGTTTGAAGAGAGAGAGAGGAGGGCACTTATTCTCCAGCAGTGTCCTTGCTGGAGCAGGGTACTTCAGAACTGAGTGAGGTGGTGAAAGGCTGTAGCAAACAAGGACAGCCACCTCCAAAGATAGAACCAGGAACTTTTCCAGGCAAGAGTGACCCAACCTGACAGACCAGGGAAGGCTGGACTGATGAGGCTCAGGAGCAAAGAGCTGAGTAAGGGCTGAGAGATCATGAGGAATAGAGAACATCTTTGATGTGCATTTTTGAATAAAGAAATAACATGCAACCCAATTCATCAAAATTTTACTTAGAGACTTCCAAGTGCCTAGTGCACCACCAGGCACTCTGAGGGACACAGAAAAATTAGATGTGGAGCTTTCCAGGGAACTCACACTGGGAGGCAGAGGGGTGAGCTGGGACTACAGCAGGGATCCCAGGTCTGTCATCCCTTGGATGATGAGTTAGAGCTATGATGGACGGCTTATTTGGCTAGAGGAGTGAAGGAAAGCTGTTCTAACATTTCAGCAGAACCTTGAAGGCTAGGTAGGACAATGACCATCACTGCTATTTCCAGAGCACCTACTATGTGCTAGATACCATCTCTAATCTTCACAACAAACCCATGAGGGAGACATTATTATAGAGAGGGGTTGAGTGCATGGATTCTGGAGCCAGGTTTCCTGGACTCCATGGCAACTGGTTTAGGGGACAGTTGTGGTTCAGTGATTAAATTCTCACCTTTCATGCAGGAGACCCTAGTTTGATTCCCAGCCAGTGCTCCTCAAGTGCCCACTACCCGTCTGTCAGTGGAGACTTGCATCTTGCTATGATGCTGAACAGATTTCAGTGGAGCTTCTGGACTAAGATGGACTAGGAAGAAAGGTCTGGTGATCTACTTCCAGAAATCAGCCAGTGAAAGCCGTATGGATCACACTGATCTGATTCTGTTGTGCGTGGGGTTGCCATAAGTCAGGGCCCACGCAACAGCAGCTAACGATAAAACAACATCAAGTACTAGCTGTGTTAACCTTGGGTGATTCACAAAAACCTCTTCATGCCTCAATTTCTTTATGTGAAAAATGGGGATAATAACACTGCCTCCCACAAGGGTTGGGTTGAAAATGAGATGAGTTCATGTATAAAAAGAACAGTGCCGGGCACGTGGTAGCTGTTAGCTTTATTATCTTCCCTAGTTCACAGCTGTGGAAACAGAAGCACAGGCAGGTTTTTTACTTGCACATAGCTTGCAAATGGCAGTCAGTATTAAAACTGAGGTCCCAAAGGCCCCAGAGTCCAGGTTCTTTTCCCTATACGATGGCAGTGAAATGAATACATGTACTGAAAATGGTTCTATTTATGTGCCTGAGCCAACAGTTATTTTCAGACACCAAGCAAGATTGAAGCACAAGGACAACAGCCTCGATGGTTGTGGTTCATGATCACTTGGTTTTAGTTTTTTATTTCCCAAAACCAGTAAAAAAAAAAAAAAAGCCCAGCTGCCATTGAGTCAATTGCAATCCATGGCGACCCCAGGTGTATCAGATCAGAGTAGAACTGTGCTCCATAGGGTTTCAATGGCTGATTTTTCAGATCACCAGGCTTTTCTTCCTCTGGGAGGCGCTTCTGGGTGGACTTGAACCTCCAACTTTTTGGTTAGCAGATGAGTACATTAACTGTTTGTACCACCCAGGGACTGGTTTATTTCCCAAAGGCGGAATAATTCCTGCCCTGACCCTCAGTAAAAGTGAAAAAACCCCCTTCCCCCGTTACACAGTAAAATGTCAGAGTAGTGTCCACGTGGCCATGGAAAAGCAAGTTTTTCCTGAAGATTCCTAATTTCCTAAGGCAATCTGACTTTAATACAGAAGCCTCCTCAGAAGGCAGCGTGGTAATAATAAAAATCCTCTAACAGCGATTGAGCCTTTACTATAGGTCAGGCTCTGAGCTAACCGCTTGACACACATTGTCTCATTTAATCCCCACAATCATTCTATGAGGGCAGTACTGTTATCATCCCCATTTTATACATTAGAAACCAGGTTCAGGAAGGTGAGGTAATTTGGCCAAGGCCAAGGCTAATAAATAGCAGAGCCTGTAGCACTTGCTCTGAACCACTCTGCTGTGCTGTGTCCTTGGTGGAGTACATAGGCTTTGGGGTCACACAGCCTGGAAGGACACTTTCTCTAGCAGATGCTAGGAGTTTCCTTAGGCTCTCTAAGCCTCAACTTCCTCACCTATAAAATGGGGATAATAATAGTGCCTACCTCATAAGGGTGCGAGAGGATAAAATAAGCAAACTCATTTAAAGCAATTAGCCCAGTACTTAAAATGTAACACGTGGTTATTAGATGTTAGCCCTTATTAACTCTCTGAACCTCCATTTCCTCATCTGTAAAATGGGGACCATAATAATACATACATTATAGAGGTATTGTGAGGTGTAGAAGAAATGGCGAACGGAAAGCATATAAGATGTACTTGGTGCGTGGTAAGCTACCACGATATGACCCTCCAAAAGGTTCTGCAAATAAACAAGCCTGCTTTCTTAAAAGCTCCTGGCATTGCAAATCCGCCTGATAGCAGGCAATGTTCATATGACAAAAACACACCTTTGACAGTAAGTTTATGTTAATGAGGGAAGAACAACTCAGAAAAGGAGGATGAGAATTGTTGCACGACTCGAAGAATGTAATCAATGTCACTAAATTGTGCATGCAGAAATTGTTGCACTGGTGCGCGTTTTGCTGTGTATATTCTCAACAAGAAGAACGAAATTAATAAAATTGAGAAAAAAGAAAAAAACACACCTTTGAATATTATTCCTATAAAAACATTTACAAGGGTGATAGAAAAATTTGGAAATGGATAGCGGTGATGGTTGCACAACATGATGAACGTAATTAATGTCACTGAATTGTACATATCAATCATGTTGAAATGGCAAATGTTTTGTTACGTATATACTTACCACGATTAAAAAAATGTATTTATTAACTTAAGATCTTTTACTCCTTTGCATAGAAGCTTGGAGTATGAATGGAGAATGTCCTCTAGGAAACTTAAAGCTAATTAAACTCTTAGAAGAGAGTATCTGCTGAAGATCAGTCCATAACGAAGGAGCACGTCCCAGAAGTGACACAGAAAAGTTTGTAATTTGGGAAAGTTCGGATATATACAAAAGTAGACAAAACAATAAAATAAACCCCCAAGTATCCATCACACAACTCCAACACCTATCAATTCATGTCTCATTTCAACTATAACCCACATTTTCCCCTCCCCAGTATAATTTTGAAGCAAATCCCAGCTATCATTTCATCTGAAAATATTTCAGGGTATATCTCTAAAAGGTAAGGACTATTTTTTAAAACAAAACCACAGTACAGTTTTCCCACTTACAATTTTTTACAATTATTCCTTAATCTTACCAAATATTCAGTGTTTAGATTTCCAATTCTCTCTATAAATGTGTTTTTTTTTAAACTACTTGTTTGCTTGAGTCCACCCATTGCCATTAGTTGACATAACTTTTGCATCTCTTTTAATTTACAAGTTTCCCTTCTATCTTTTTCTTTTTCCTCCCTGCAACTTATTTATTGAAAAAAGTAGGTTATTTAATTCATAGAGTTTTCCACAGTCTGGATTTTGCCGACTGCATCCCCATGGTATAGTTTAACATGATTCTCTGGCCTCTGTCTTTCCTATAAATTGGTAGATAGACCTACAGGCTTGATCAGATTTGAGTTTATTTTTTTGGCAAGAATACTTCATGGTTAGTGTCATCTTCTTCCCTCAGGAGGTACACAGTGTCTGGTTGTCTCTGAAATGATGCTTTAAGACATCAGAAATATATGACTATGTTTATTTTTTTATGGATTGAATTATGTCCTCCAAAAAGTCATGTTGAAGTCATAACCCCTGTATCTGTGAATGTGACCCTGTTTGGACATAGGGTCTTTGAAAATGTTATCAGTTAGGATAACATCATATTGAGGTTATATTGAGGTAGGGTGGTTCCTAATCCTATGTGAATGGTGTCCTTATAAAAGAGGAGAAGACACATAGAGATAGGAAGGATGGTCATGTGACACTGTACCTGCAAGTCAAGGAACACCTGGAGGTACCAGAAGGTAAGAGAGAGCCATGGAACACTTCCTGTCTCAGAGCCCTCAGAAAATCAACATGGCTGACACCCTGATTTCAGACT